ACTGTCGACAAAAGTTTTTGCCGAGTTTTACTTTTTTATACATATATAGAGATATATAGAGATATGTAGAAGGTTCTGGTTGTTTTTCTTTTTTAAACAATAGGTTTCAGGGTGTTTGTTTCCTTTGCAGCCACGCAAAGCCTCCCTTCCCAGCAAGGGCGAAGCCATTTGGGGGATTACACTGGAACTCTGAGTGGCTATAGTTACACACGGTATACTGTATCTATCCGGTTTGGAGATTTGCCACCACAAGAATTCAAATCCAAGCCACCTGGCTATAAAGTGCAAGTGCAAACCTCTCGAAATTCAAATATTTAGTCTTTGTCTCCTAATAAATACAACATAAATGCTTAAGGAATGTGCAACCATCATTTTGTCTCTTATTGTGACTGTGAAATGTTTGGATAAAAGGTTGGATTTTCTGATGTTTTCAGGTAGCACGATCAGTAATTTGTCTCTTGACTTCCCACAATCAGCTAGCTATATGCACAATGCAACATAACTGAAAAATGAGAAAGGGACACTGATCCTCCTGGCCCCGTGCTTTTGGCTGGGAGGTTTTGCCATGTCGTTCCCGCGGCGCATCGTGGGGCAAGTCACCTGGATTTGGGTTGGCTTGCGGAAATGTCTGCAGCATTAGCACGTGGGACCGGCCGTATAGGGATGTCATTCTCCCTTGCAGCTGTGGTTAGAAAGGGGCTGTTGGCTCCTTTATGTAAAGGTTAGTGGGAATAAATAATCATTCAATCTTAGAAGAAGGTGGGGGAGGGAATCCCACTCCCTGCAGGGACTGGAAATCTTTCTCTAGTGAATAAGGGTCTTATAACATCCAGATTCTTGCTGAATTTAAGCTTGCTTTTTTTAATTCTTTTTTTTTTTTTTTTCCCCTTTTAAGTTGACTTTCTAGATCTTAGTAGGGAGAAACAGCCAAATACAAATTTTGCATAAGTGGCTGCAACAGCCTTTGCCTGCGTACGCTTCCTCGTTCCAGTGTTTCTGCTGTTTGCTGAACTGGAGGCAACTGAAAGTCTCGGGCTGTGCAGATCACTACAGTGAAAATCCTTGGAAATGCTGCAGTTTCATGCTGCTGCTTAATAAAACAGAGCAGCAGTCAGGATAGCGCAGGGAGGAGAAACGGCTTTGTGTACTTCATGGGTCAGGTAAAACACTCCTGAACATTTTGGCTGTGATCCCCTGACAAGTAGCCGCCTGGGATGCTGTTGGTACTCACAGCTGAGCGTAAATTTGCCAGAGAGTTTTGGGAAGTACTTTGCACGAGGATGCTCTGCGGGCCTTCCAGGGCTGAACGTACATCACGAGGTGATCCCCAATGCATAGGGACTGGGCTCAATGACACAGTTATACCCTGGTGGTCCTTTCCGACAAGTCGCTTACTAATTATGCTGAAGACTGCAGATTTGCTGTATGTACTACTTACAGCCAGTGACACTGGTTCTCAGCTACTGCTTCTGGGGTGGGACAGCAAGCAGAGGGCACGCTGAAGACTGCGGGAGCAGAGTAGAAGTTTTTAGCTACGGCTACTGATGCAAGACCCTATTTAAATGAAAAAAGCGGAAGCAAAGACAGGAGTCAGTCCTAGTAAAGGTCTCACCCAAGAGAAGATGCGAAAGGCAGTTCTCAGTTCTGCTGGGAATTGCGTTGCCCTTTTAATGGTAATAAAGTAGCTTTGCCCTTAATCTCCGCAGATGCTGCCAAATGCTGAACAGGTCTGGACAATGAGGCAATTCCTGTCCTGCTCGGAGACTTGGCACCTCTGGGTCAACGTGGAGGTACGGCTCTTGGGTGGGTTGGGTTCGTGCACCGTGGACACCAGGGCTGCTGTCACATGGAAAGGCAGAAAGCAGAAAGCTAACGAGCAGGTGTCCTTCACAAATCAAACACACAGAAATGTTAAACACAGTGCCCTCAAATGGTTACCCACAAGGAGGGGATATACATCTAAAATGAGGATGCTATAGCTAATGTTAGAGGTGTTGGTAAGAATTGCTAAACTTTCTGTGAACTAATCCGTTACCTTAGAAAAAACCCAGCTGCTGTAGTGGGGAGTGCTCGTGGGCTGCTTTTCACGTGAAGTTTTTCATACACCTCGTAGACTTCTGGCATATCTGATGTTCTCCCTGTTTGCAGTATTAGAGACACTGCTAATATGTAGGTAATAGAAAATAATTTATGGGGGCA